AGGGGGCAAAAATATGGTTGAGAAAACAGACCAGTTCATGCTTCTTGGGTAAGGCTGAACTTCCAGAACAAAAGCCAAGGACAAAAAGCTTAGTGTTTCTTGGTGCCTGAATGACTGTCCCTTAAATTGGTGATATCACCCCCTGGTGATAGAGGAGTTTTAGTTTCACACGAAAGCTGATGTTAAGAAGGCTGGGCTCTGGTTCAAACCAGCTCTGCAGCTAATGAGCTGAGCGGCCCTGAGCAAGTCACTCTGGAGTCTCCGATGCCTTATCTTGAAAGAGGTTTTAGGAAGCAGCAGTAGACAACCCCCACCCCGGGTTGCTGTGAAGCTCGAGGCAGTTAATTGCCATTAACTGCCAGCCTTTGGTAGGGTGTGCACAATGGCCTTTCCTAATATATCTTCCTTGAAGCTGTGCGGCCGGTCCTGGGAGCTGGGGCAGACAGGAGCCAGTGAGGAAGCTGGCTCACTGCCCTGTGTTCCCACGAGGCCCTGCAAACTCTGCAGACTGAGGTACAGCTTTGCTGAGAGGGAGGAGTGGGGATAGCTGATCAGCTGGGGTCAGGAGGGGTGGGGGGGCGCCATCATGCATCTCACTGGACAGTTGATAGACAAGAAGACATGTAGACAGACTTCTGTAGAAACCGTCATTCCCAGCTGTCTGTCACGTCTGCTCACCTGTCACAAGCAAGAGGACGGTGCCCCACTGATTCCATTAATCCGCACAGATCTGACATCTCTCTCCCTCCTCTCTTTTTTCCCCCAGTTTCCTGAATACAGATCACAGAGGGCTGTGGGGATGACTAGCTCGAAAATCTAGACTCGTCTAAAGGGGCTTCTCCCTTCCCTTGAGGACTTTGAATACCACAGAGGAGCCATTAGCCATGGGCTCTGGAAGAAGCATGTCTGGCCACCTCCGAGCTCCTCCTCCCCCACCCTGCTCCTCCTGGAACCAGCGCATCTCTCAAAATCTCCTTCTCGACTCAGTGCCTCCTCGGCCTCCTCAGGGGCCCAGAGTGACTACTACCCCACGGCATCCAAGTGTTGTTTTGTGCAATATCCAGCCCCAGGTAGGAACAGGAAAGCGGAGGAGGACGAATGGCTGCGTCTCCCCCATCCACCCTCCAGCTGGGCCGTCCCCCCAGGGGTGCCAGTCCAGCTGGTGCCGGTGGTCCGAGCTGGAGCCCAGCTGGGAAGCTGGTTTAGACCTTCAGGCCAGGACTCAGCTTGGAGAAGCCATCCATCCACGTCTGTGGCGGAGGGTACACGTGAGAGCTTTCTATTTCTTCTGTCTTCCTCCATGGTCCCAGGTTGGCTGGAGGCGGGCACTTAGCCTCCCTTTTAGCTCTGGGATCGAGGGGTCCCTCCCACTGCCCAGGGCTTGGTCAAGGTCATAACTCCTGGCTCAGTGCTCACATGTGAACAAATCAAGTCCTCTCCTTACCACCCCCCACCACCCCAAACCCCTACCTCCCCATATTCCCACGGGTCACTCTGACTCAGACAGGTACTATTTGTAGGCGTTTAGACAGCAGGGGGAGCACAGCCTGGGCCCCTCTGAGCCGTCAAGCCAAAGGTCGCCATCCACTCGCCATGATTCTTGCTTGCTCTGTTTTCTCTTTTCTGCACTTTCCAAGTGCCTCGTGCTTTTGATTTCTCTTTGCGTGCTTGGACCTGCCCAACGTGTGGTGCTGTGGAACGCGATTCCCCAGCAGTCCCGACTTCCTGGGACCTGGTGCTGTGACTTGCAGGTCAGGGTCCTGCCTGACAGCTGGCCCCGGGATTTCCTGGTTTCTCAAGAGTGATGACTGGCATGGCCTCGGGCCATGGCTGTGAGCTCCTGGCTTTACTGTCCATGGTTTTGTGACCTCAGCAGAGCGCAGGTCTTCCTCTCACTCCCTGCCCTGAATCTGAGCATGGTCCTCAGGGACAGCAGCAGGTGTAGGGAAGGGAGCGGATGTCCTGGGAACCCCAACTATCCCCAGGCTGATCAGCGACGAGGCAGGACTGTTGTCTTCTGAGCAGAGAGCAGACCTGTCTCTAGCACTCCCTAGAGAAGCAGCCTTGATGGGACAGAGTCTGTGCCGGGACCAGCGAGATGATTCCTCATCCACTTCCTTGTGCTCTTTCCTCTGGTCCTGTCCTCCCTACAGGGAGGGGGGCTGTGCGGTGCTCTGCAGGCTGGGACAATTGTCAGAGTCACCGGCGAGGTTCTCTGGGGCTGTCTCCCACCCCAGAAAGGTGCTGGGCATCTGGGGGCTGCCCACCTCCTGCAATGAACAGATGTTTGCTCTTGAAAACCTCAGTTCAAGGAAGAGGCTTGAGTTCTCACCCCCAATCACTAGCCCAGGGCCCCATTCTAGCTCTCCATACACAATGGGTGCTTAATCATTGTTCTGGGTTTGGAGACAGGTGGGAGATTCGGGCTGTGCACCTGGGGCACTCTTGGGGGGGATTTAGGAAGAGCTCAGGAAATGAAGTTCTCCTCCCTCAGGTAATCAGGTAGTTGTGATGTTGGTGATATTCACACCTCTGTCTTGCTCACAAGGGTCCTGGTTGCGCCCCATACCCAATGTCCATCATCCTCACTTCCTGGTGGAGTCAGGGGACAGCCTTCCATTTAAGCATGCTCCTCTAGATGCCCCAGGCCTCAGGGCTGGGTCCCAGAAAATGAAAGGCTAAAACACCTCCCCCACCAAAATCACCCTTAGTCCCAATCCCATGCCTCACCAATGATCCTGTGGTTCTGTCCAGCTTTCCTCCCCCACATTAGGAGGTAGAAGGCTCTGAGGTGTGAGCCTCTTGAATCTGAAACCCACCCTCCCTGGAACCAAACCGGAAAGAGACCTGGGTTGTTGCTTTCTTGTGTGTTTGTTTTCCATTATTTTAATACCACCTCCATGTGATAAAAATTGTACTGTGAACTGGAAGATGGTTGAATTTTTAAAATCTGGTAAGACTTTTGGCAACCTGTTCTATTTACTGTTACTCTCCTGGTTCTGTTCAGGGAGGCAGGAGGCACCATTCTGGCAGGCCAGGGAGGCTGCCCAGGGGGGACAAGACTGGCTTCTATGGCCCTCTTTTCCCCTCCTGTGTCCATGTGCTGCTTTGAGGTGACAAAACCCAGTATGGATTTAGGGAAGGAAGGACTTTACTCGCAGGGATTACTGCAAGACTGGGGAAGGGAATGTTGAGTCAGGGGCACGGGGCAGTTGCTTTAGGAGAATGCTCGGGTGAGCTGAGCGGCTGCAAGATCTGTAAGCATCTCAACAGCTCGGAAGGAAGAGGCCTTTTATAGGAAGGAGTGAGCATGGCTGGAAAGAACCACATTCAGGGACAGACTTAGTGGTCAGCCTTTGGGGGAGCGGCCGATGCCGGCTCTGGCCGAGGGCGAGTCCATGCGGGCAAGTCCATGCTTAGGGTCTGATGGGGAGGAAAGGATCTTAACTGAGGCTTGGTGGAGTGATTTAACCAGCCTTCTGTTCAGATGGAGACTGTAAATCTTTTTAGAAGCTAACTTAGCCTCTGACCAGTTTTTCAACCCTAGACTTGTTTTCCTTAAGAGCCTGGGAGGCATCTCTGAAATGTAAATCTCAAGGGAGCTCGCATTGGCTCTCCTTGTCTCAGTGGGTTTTAGCCCAGGCACTAGGCTCCAGTGGTAACTGCCTGCTTACCTCCATTCTTTTTAGCCTTGTTTACTACTCCCTGTAAAAGAACAGCTCCTCTCTGCCCCAGCTCTGAGAGCCTTGCAGACCTTATAGTGTCTCGTTGTAGATCTTACAGTGATGTTGTAGCCCCATCCACTGTGGCCATGACCCCTCTCCGTATCTTGCTGTAATCCTTTAGAACAAAGCCGCCTCTTACCCATGTCAGAATTTTTTTTTTTTTTTTTTGCCGGGGGTATAGAAGACTCTCATGTTTTAAATCGGGGACTGGTTTTAAAGTCAGAGATTGCATTAAATGTATGTACAACAGCTCTGCAGGACACCCAAGAAAACCAAGACTATGCCAACTGGAATGGTGCCCACCCCTCCCTAGGGAACCTGGTAAAGGAGAGGCTCTGCAGAATCCACGCCCAGTGCCCCCAGAGCCACCCCTCCACACACCCTCTCTCACTACCCACTGTGTGTACGTACGTATGTGTCTGGGATCCAGGGCAATGTGAATTTTCTTTTTATTTGGGAGATTGTTCACGGAAAACAGATCCTCTTTTCTCTCATTCACCTATTAATTGTTTACAATATTTGTATATCTATGCAAAATACTTGAATGGGCCATGGTGCCTTTTTTCCTTGTTTGTATTTAATTAAATTGTCATTTGAAATGTCGGCTGGTTTGACAGCTCTTGTTTGTTTGTTTTCATGTTGTACTGGCTAGCCTGGATAGGATCCATTCCTGAGGACTCCTCAGAAGAGTTCCCACAGGGACCATCCGCCCAGCTTGTCAGACCACCGTGGGCGAACCTGAGCCAGAGAAGCCTGGGGTCTTTGCTGGTCTTTGCACCTGGACAAAGGCTGGTCTAGTTTAAGTAGGTCTGGGGTCACTCGGGACATGAGTGATACAGAGCTACCTTGAGGATTTGAAGGAAATGGCAGCCCACTCCAGCATTCTTGCCTGGAAAATCCCATGGATGGCGGAGCCTGGTAGGCTACTGTCCATGGGGTCGCAAAGAGTCGAACACGACTGAGCGACTTCACTTTCAAAGTGTTCATGGGAGGCTCTTAGCATTGTGATTGGTTCCTCCTAAAGGCTCAGGCATTAAAAAGGGATGGTAAAAACAAACCAACAAAAAAACAAGGGACATGCAGAAGTCTTCAACAGACTGTATTCCCCAGACAACCTTTCCCTCTTTATTGAAGGCTGGGCTGCAGAAGACACTGGAGGGACAGGACCTCCTTGACAGCCACAACTCTCCAGAGACTGGGGCCTGGCCTGGCACCCGCAGCACTAGAAGAACCAGTTTAATTGTTCCATGTCCAAGGAGGGCCGAGATGTAAGCATCAAGTAAACACACTCAGAGGTCTTTATTACTGACCCCGCAGACCACACTCTCAGGGCCTTCAGATCACGGCCATTCTCAACATCCAACAGGTTGCATTGATTTTAGTTATAGAGAGAAATCCACAGTCATTCAAAATTGGAGCTTTGAGGCTGCAATGCATGCAGAAAGCCAGTCTGTTCATTGGCGCTCTAAGGCCAGCAGGAGTTTGGCCTGGGCTTGGCTGTGCTCAGGGCCCGGGACATAAACACAGGCACAGGTATGGAGTTACACAGGGGGGCTCTACACCAGCTCGGGGGGCTTAAGGCCAGGGCTTCCTTCTTGACAAATATACTGACTCCCTAACCTCCATATCAATGGTCCTTGAATCAACTGTCACATTCTTACTGCTGGAAAGAAGACAGGAAGGGAGATGATATTAATTCTCTCTCCAGCTGCTCTTGGTTTTTTGACTGCCTCCAGCCAAATGTGGGGGGACCACAGGCAGTCCCCAAAGCAGGTGGAGGGACAGCAGTTGTGACACACCTCCTCCCAGGGTGGGCAGCTCATCAGTGGAGTGGGGACTTGGTGGCAATCTGGTCCATTGCCAGAATGACACCCTGTGCCTAGCTTATACCCCAACTTGGTCACTGAAGTTCAAAGCTGATCCCACTGGCCAAGCCTCTAAGGCTTCAGCCCAGAAGTTACCCAGAGGAGACGTCTCTGGCAGCCCAGTGGTTAAGACTCTGAGCTTCCACTGCAGAAGGGGACTTCCCTGTGGTCCAGTAGTTAAGACTCCGTGCTTCCACTGCAAGGGGCATGGGTTCAATCCCTGGTCTGGGAACTAAGATCCTGCATGCTGCATTTTAAAAAAACACACACACACACCCAGAGGTTACCTTTCCCACCTGGGTTCTTGGTCGGCCACCAGAGTAAACACAGGTTAGCCCCTGGTTTCCAGAGAGCTTGTGTCTGCTCTCTGCCAAATTCTGACTCTGCTCCTCACTCTTCTCCCCATCTCCCCAAATCATATTGTGGTTTACTCCTTGAGGAAAAGGAAAGTGCATTCTACTCAACAACCAGGCTACTTTTAAAAATGGTGCAACTGCTATTCTCTTAGAGTGAGGCAGAATGAAACTCTGGGCTTGGCCAGCACACCTCGGCTGGGAAGCACCTTTTGTTGTGGTGGTGGTTGTGTTGTTTTGAGTTCTTGGACAACCACCTGAATGTCTCTGTGACCAACTCCTTGGGGTGCATCTAGAGAGAGAAGGGGCCTTTCCAGGTGGCACTAGCAGTAAAGAACCTGCCTGCCAATGCAGGAGACATAAGAGACACGAGTTCAATACCTGGGTCAGGAAGATCCCTTGGAGGAGGGCACAGCAACCCACTCCAGTATTTTTGCCTGGAGAATCCCATGGACAGAGGAGCGGGGTTGCGAGAGTCTGAGCACAGAGGGAAGGGTGGGGGTGGGGTGGATGGAAGTAGATGCTAAGCTCCAGGCTGGCCGCTCTGGGAATGGGGCTGGTGGCAGGGTGTCCCTGAGACATCAGGCGGCTTTCACAGTAAGGTCAGCTGAGGTCTTGTTTCCGTCTCCGAAGATGAGGTGGCAACAGCAACAAGACATTTGATGAGAGCTGTGTGTCTGTTAGTTCTGGATGGGAGGCATGGCGAGTTGCTCCCTGGGCCTCGGGGAGCCAGGCGCACTTCAGCCTTGGACTCGGGACCAGTGAGTCAGTCTCAGGAGGAGAACTTCCTGATGACCAGCGTTTCAGGGAAGTTCCTGGCTTGCGCTACATTCAATGGGTCAAATCCGATCTTCTTCCCCACAACACAGAGGAAACAAGTGGGAAGGGAGGTCCAGGGGACCTGCTGGCACCAATAAAGTAGGGTATTTGGTCACTGAGGCTGTGTTTCCAGGAAGTTATACCACCACTGCTTATTGAGTAGGGGTTTTTCTCCTGGAAACAGCGATGAGGTATAAATGAAAGTCTCAAGAAAAGAGCCCATTGGTAAGAGTTGTGTTGGAAGTAACCAGGTGGCTCTGAAATCAAGCAGTCAGGCTGGACCACGGGGCTCATCCTGTCACTTCTCTACTTCAGGCTTTACGAATGGGCTGTAAACACTTTGGGCTTCTCTTCTGGTGATGGGGTGCTGGAGAGTTCCATGTTGTCCACCAGGACATTCTTGTCTCCAAGTCTAATGACACTGGGCTCTGGGGCAGGAGTGGCAGGTGGGTTTTTGTGCATGTGGGGCAGGCTGCTCTGGCTGATGTCCAGGTCTTTGAAAGCATGAAGCATGAATACACCCAGGATGATGGTGACAAAGCCACAGAGGGTGCCCACAATGTCCACGGCTGACATCCTGTACCACTCCTTGAAGAGGATGATGGAGGAGGTCATCACCGTCGTGGTGAAGAACACGTAGTAGATGGGGAACACCAGGGAGGTGTTGAAGATGTCCAGCGCCCTGTTGAGGAAGTTGACCTGAGTGCTGATCGAAAGCGCCAGCATAAGAGACAGGATGTAGGGGAGAGGGTGCCGCACAACTGGGAGCCCCTGGAAGAAGTTCTTAATGGTGATGCCCAGACCCTTGCTGGCAGACACGGAGAAGGCCCCGATCACAGAGCAGATGATGATGTAGATGAGGATGTTCCTTTGTCCATAACGTGGGGCAACAACGAAGATGAGGATGAGGCAGGACACCAGCAGAAACACAGCGAACACGATGTACCCTTTGTTGGGGAGGGAGAGAGAGGACCTGAGCCGGGAGCATGCCATCAGCATCTAGAGCTTCCCCCCCCGCCCCACCATGACAGCGGGATGTCACATTAAGAATCTGGGCTCTGGAGGACTTCCCTGGCAGTCTAGTGGTTAAGACTCTGCACCTGCAATGCAAGGGGTGTGGGTTTATCCCTGGTCGGGAAACTAAGTCTCTTCAGTTGTGTCTGACTCTGCGACCCGGTGGACCATAGCCCACCAGGCTCCTTGGTCCATGGGATTCTCCAGGCAAGGATACTGGAGTGGGTTGCTATGCCCTCCTTCAGGGGATCTTCCTGACCCAGAGATCAAACCCACATCTTTTGCATCTCCAGCATTGACAGGCAGATTCTTTACCACTAGCGCCACCTGGGAAGCCCTTTCATACTATGCATGCTAAGTCACTTCAGTTGTGTCTGACTCTTTGTGACCCTACCTGGCTCCTCTGTCCATGGGATTCTCAAGGCAAGAATACTGGAGTGGGTTGCTATGCCCTCCTCCAGGGGATCTTCCTGACCCAGAGATCAAACCCACATCTTTTGCATCTCCAGCATTGACAGGCAGATTCTTTACCACTAGCGCCACCTGGGAAGCCCTTTCATACTATGCATGCTAAGTCGCTTCAGTTGTGTCTGACTCTTTGTGACCCTACCCGGCTCCTCTGTCCATGGGATTCTCAAGGCAAGAATACTGGAGTGGGTTGCTGTGCCCTCCAGGGGATCTTCCCTTCCAAGGGACTGAACCCAGGTCTCTTATGTCTCCCGCATTGGCAGGCAGGTTCTTTACCACTAGCGCCACCTGGGAAGCTCGTCTTGTGGCACAGCCAAATAAAAATAAGTAAAAATAAAAACATAAATAAATCTGTGTTGTTAAAAAAGGAAATCTAGGCTCTGGAACCAAACATGGGTTCTGGTCCCAGCAACAAAACTTTTTAATAACTTGTACAAGTTATTCATTAAATCCCCAAGATCTCAGTTTCCTCTTTGTAAAATAGGAATAATAATAGGACCTTCCCTATAGGAGCTTTTTTGGTGAGATTGACTGACTTCCCCTCCCATTCATATGCTGAAACCTAATCCCTAATGTGACAGTATTTGGAGGTGAGGGTTTCTTGAGAGGTGATTAAGTCGTAAGGGTAGAGCCCTCATGAAGAGATTAGTGGCCCTTCTAAAGGGGACTCCAGAGAGCTCCCCTGTCCCTTCCACCAGGTGAGGACACAGATGTCTATGAACAAAACTATAGGGCTTTATCAAGGACTTGATGATGGCTTCCAGAACTGTGAAAAATGTCTGTTGTTTATAAGCCACCCAGTCTATGATATTTGAACTAAGACAATGCAAACAAAGCATTTAGAACAGTACCCATCACATAATAAACAGCATCAACACCTATCAGAGTGGGACCCTGTAAACTAGCCTTAGTACCAGCCCATCAGTTTTCTTCCCCAAACTCGCTTCCTCCTCCTCCTCCAGGTGGCAGCACCTGAGACGGCCATAACCCAGTCAGCCCTTCCCCAGGGTTCACCCCCAGCGCTTTCCTGCTCAAGGGGAGTTGGAACCTACCAGTGTCTTTCATCTTGGCAGCCATCTCCATGATGGTGCTTATCTTCTCTTCCTCGGGGGCGTGGATCACCATCACTGTGCTAGCAGCCACGCAGATCACACAGCCCAGCTTCCCCAGGAGGTTCAGACTCTCCCCCAGGAAATACGAGGAAAAGACGGCACTGTGTGCAGAAGAGGAGAAAAGGCTCAGGGTAGCCAGGCTGGTCCCAGCATCCTGGAGAAAGGCCGGGTCTGAGCGAGGGCTCACTGCTCTCCCATGTGGGAGCTTTTCTGGACCCCTTGAAAATGTCTGAAATAAAAACTTACTTATGGGAGGGCTGGAGGAATTGTGGACAACAGCCATGTGAATTTCTTTCATTTTAAAGACGGAGAGTATCCCCAAACAGAAGAGTTGGAAGAGCCCTTCAGAGCACTCTTGTCTAACTTCCTACCCAATGAGCACATCTTCTGTAACACTGCAAACAAATGTTAAACGCTTTCAGCTTTGGCTTGTATATCTCTCGTGGCAAACAGCTCACCCCTTCACAATGCAGATGAATCCATTGTAGGTTCATTCTATGAGGTATTACCCAAATGTGGTAATTTCTACTTGTCCCATATCTTATTCCTTGCAACATACAGAACAAATCCATTCCCTCTTCCATTTGTATATGCCAGTATAAACAACCTCATGACATTACAGGCACTGTGTCTTGAGCACACTTTATCAGCATGTACTGCATGTTGTGTCCAACTCTGTGACCCCACAGACTGTAGCCCACCAGGCTCCCCTGTCCATGGAATTTTCCAGGCACGAATACTAGAGTGGGTTGCCATTTTCTACTCCAGGGGATCTTCCTGGTCCAAGGATCGAACCCATGTATCTTGCATCTCCTGCACTGGCATTATGCTAGGAACTTTCTATTTATTGCCTCACTAACATTTTACAACTCTGAGAAGTAAAAAATACACTTATGCCCACTTTATAGATGAGAAAATGAGTCCCATAGAAGCTTAAATGGTGGTAAGATCATACAACTGGTAAGAGACAAGCCAGAATTTGAGCTCAAATTCTAATTATAAAGCCTATGGTGTTTCCCTCTACATCTCACTGAGAAGAATTGTGACTTGAGTCTTTTCTGGTCAAAACACCTCCAGTTCCTTGCTGTTCTTTGGTGATATGAGTTTCATTCCTCCAAATGAGCTGGCAAATGAGGGAAGATGGGAGGGAAATGGGATAAGACAAGTATGATCACTGGGGCATGCTTCTGTTTCTTTACAAGGGTGGCATTACTTTAGAGTAAAAATCTGTTGGCTGACCTAAGGTCAGCCAGTAAGCTTCACGAGTCCTGCTTAAAAAGATCAGGAAAGAGGAGACTGTTGTCTAAGCTCCTCTAAATGTCTCCCATCTCTCCTCTAAGACTACCAAAAGCATCTTACCCACAATGCCTTTTAACCAGCATTTGGTGGCCTTAGCAAAGGCAAGGGTCACAAAGTGAAGGGTTCCCTGCCTCTGCTAACTACCTGGAATGGGAATTTGTAAACTAACCAGATACGCAATAGTGGTATCACAGCTCCATCAGCCAACGATGCAGCATGAGTCACGGCTCTATCTGGTTTTTGACTGTATAGATGCTGCAAGATTACCTTCAAGCTGGTAAAACAAAACAGGAAATTACAGGTATTGGGTGTGGTGGGCTGGCACTTACCAGGACTCCATGGTTAGGGCAACAATCAGAGCCAGCTTCAAATGGGACTCAGGACCCCCACAGAGGAGGTCGTATAGCTTGGGAGGAACAGGGCAATGGGAAGCACACACATGTAATAGCAGTTATCTTTAAAATCATCAAACATTTTCCAGGAAACATGGCCTAGTGATTAAGCATCCAGACTCTGAAATCAGACTGCCTGGGAGGGAATCCTGGCTCAGTCTCCAGGGATCTGGGTGACCTTGACCAAGATGCTTAACCTCTCTTGGCCTCAGGTCTCCCCTCCTTTCTAATTAGTAGGGATACTGTGAGGGTTAAAGGTGGTACACTGGTAAGGAATCGCCTGCAATACAGAAGACTCAGGCTCAATACCTGGTTTGGGAAGATCCCTGGAGAAAGAATAGGCTACCCACTCCAGTATTCTTGCCTGGAAAATTCCATGGGCAAACACTTTCTAACACCATACACAAAAATAAACTCAAAATGGATTAAAGATCTAAATGTAAGACCAGAAACTATAAAACTCCTAGAGGA